AAAAAAAACACCTGTTCTAGCCTCTCCTGTGGAGACGCCGTGGCACACGTGCAGCTCCATCAGCATGCGTGACAGCCTGCCACGCTCCACCCCTCTTTATGGAGATGTTACCCAGGAGTAGAGCATGAAATCCATCCATCTGGACCATATAACGCCCACCACCACCACCACCAAGCCACACAACACAACACACCCATGCATGTAAAGCTATCAATCAAATGAGCGCTGGTTAGTAAGTGACAGGTTTGTGACAAATGCATGTTCCCGTCGCGGTGACTGTGACATCAGAAGGCCACGGCCGCTCTGTACGAACCCAGCAGTGAACACGGGCAATAACTGCTCCCATTAACCAGGATTAACGGTGGCCACAGGTTGAATGTGAACCAATAACGGCCAATCAGGAGCGGAGACATTGAGGACGTTGTCCTTCTGTCCTGTTTGGACTGGAAGGGCCTTTAAAAGTTAAAGTCCAGTAGCTGTTCAGTAAGTTTGAGACGGGATGCATGTGAATTACTGTAACAGCCCCCTCTCTGCCCCCTGTGGTTGGTATTGTTCAAAAATAAAAATATTTAACTTTTAAATATTTCCATTTAAATGTTTTATTAAGCACATTTTTTTAAATCTGCTAGACTTCACATTCTCACCTGCAGCTATGTTTATGATAGATTTTATATACATATATGCACTTGTATAGACACATATATATGTATATATCTAGATATATACGTATGTATGTGTATACATGCTGTAGAAACACATGCACACACAGCAACTTAGACACTGTACATGTGTTTAAAGACAACTAAAGCAGCTCTTCTTCAGGTCATCAGCAGAGGGGTCAACGTACAGCTAAGGTCACCGTGTTCCTCAGCACTTTGGATACGTACTGTATGGGTCACCACCAAAGCCCAACAAACGTGTCCTGGGCGTCAAACTGTCATCTGAAACTCAAATGAAATCTTTCTGTCCAACGCTCTCCCACATGACACTCACAGTGCGTGGGTCAGGCTAACTCGAATAAAAGCACAAGAAAAAGACAGGCCATTAGTGGCTGGATGGGGGGGGGGCAGGGGGCGGACTTACAGAGTCCTGCAGCAGAGATTTACAGTGGCGTGAGCGTACAGTATGATATCATTCCATAATAATCCCTTAAGCCTCTTGTTGTTTTTAATGTAATTAATAAAACTCTGGTTGCAGCTGACAGAGATGTACAGTTGGATGTGGTGACCTCTGCGACCTGTAGGTGGTCACAGATGGACGGACGGAGGACAACTCAGGGTTAGGGTTAGGACAGGCCGCCTGTTATGTACAAAACAATATAAAATAATTTTTAAAAATGGACAAAGTGCAGCAGTTATTATGTTATTATGGCAGTAAGACGACAGGCTGGGAGCTCAATCCAGGTGTATTTTCTGGGACGTGCTAACGGCTAACAGTGCTAACAGAGCTAAAGCAAACTTATTCTGCGTTACATGTCAGAATATAGAAATTAAGGTAAGGGTTACGATTAATTACGATTAGTCGTTATTAATTGTGATTGTTAGGATTTATGATTTTTTGCATCAAACATTCCTAAACGACAAAAAGCTTTTGTACTCTGTTTATTTCCAGAACAGAAAGATAAACAACAGCAGGTAGACGTTTGTGTTTCTCACCAATTTTTATTTGTGACTAATCCAAATGACCATATTGTTATGGAAAAATGACACAAAAACTACAGACCAACACTGACACCTGAAGAAAATATGGTTATTGTCAACAAATAACTCATTACCGACACCTACTGGTTATTTTGTTTATAAGAACATGAATAGGAAATATACAATTAACGGCAGGAAGTACATCTTGAGGATAACAAACCTCTACCATGTTTTTGTGTGTATGGGGGGTCGGGGGGGGGGGGCTCT